TCAATAAGAGAAAACATTTTTCCCACTTGAGTGTCCAGTTTCTTATTGATAAAATGCAAATAAAGATAAGTTTTGTGATAAAATCAATCTGCATAAAGGATATGTTTCAGTGAATGCTAAGGGATCATATATATATATATATATATATGTATGTATGTATGTATATATTATATGTATTTATATTATAAAAAATGGACACTTTTTGGAATATGATATGAAAAATATGCATGCATTTTTAAGACTAAAATATGAGATTAAGTACTTCTCAATTGTGACAGCTGCTTCAAAAAGTTATTTGAGACTCTCTGCTTTGTGGCAATGAATGTGATGACAAGCAAAAATTATCCGCTTTCTAGTTTCCATGGGTTTTTGGTAACTGTTGGACAAAAGCTTGGCTTTGCAGCAGGTACTGGCTATACCTATAATCCCGGAATGTGTAAGCAGGAGGCTCCTTCCAACATTCATTGGCCTCTGGATCCAACAGGCAATTATCAGCATGGATGGGATGACTGAGGTCATTTCTTTTATCCTGTTGACCTGCCAGGAGAGGGAACAAGAAAGAATGAAATAAGGAGAGTGTTAATCTCCTACAGCAAAACGGATCATCAGACTGCCTTCTCCCATTGCTGGTGTCCTTGTAAATGTGAAATTATAGAAAGCCGAACAGAACAGATGAAGGAACACTGGGCGAGCAGTCAAGAGACTCTACTTTGGCCCCGCTTTGATATGAACTTGATGTAAAACTGTGAGCAAGTCACACTTGCTGTTACAGCTATAGAAGTTATCTGATATAAATAGACATTCCATGCATTTCATAGGTTGTACTTCATGGGGAGCAGTGATAGGAGGGGGGTGAAATTAAAATATTAAAAAAAAATATTTGATTCAATTGAACTGTCCCAAGTGTAAAAGTCTTGCCCTGTGATGTTATCCATTCCCTCCTACTCTGTAGTGGTGGAAGGGAAGGTCTAAAGAAGAAATAATGTTGGCTCATTGTGAGGGGGTCTCTAACTTTTTAAGAATATTTATTTCAACAATCCCTTCATCTTCTACACTACCACTCAATGCTTATGGATGTAATAGGAGACTAGTTTCCAGGTTCCTAGTTCCCTGAAAAGTAAAATCTAGAACAGAAAATAATTTTTCTGTGCAAAAGAAAGTAGGAGAAATTTATTTAAATGGGGGAAAAGGTAGGGTGATGGTCTGCTGGTACGTTAGGGATAAAAAAAAAAAGGAGAAAAAGAGGAAAGGGAAAATAAGAGCGATCAAGTTTATTTTGTTTTGGAAATTTAGAACTCTTCTAAACCATTTGTCTAACATGTAATGGAATTTGTTGAGCATTGTTTTCTTTCTCATCTCTCTGTGGGTAGAAGGAACAAGTGAAGATTCTGAAATCTCACCAGACAGGGCTGTTCGGCAGACCATGTGTGTGTAGGAAAAATACAGGGTTGAGTTCAGCATGAAATAGGATTCTACAATCTTTCGAGCCTTCTCGCTGATGTCATAAAACAGACGGGCACTCTTCAGTGGGACTCGGCCTTCATAACCAAACTGAGGAAAAAGGAGAATATTAGATATCATGGAGTTGGTTGGAGAGCTTGAGAAAAACAGATGCTAGGTTTCAGTCAGCCAAGGTACAATGGTCATCTCTGCATTGGTTAGTGAGGATACTCTACATGCTGGTGGATTTGGGTTAGGAAAATGAACCATTGAAATGACCTTTCCTAATCACAGAGAGAACATTAAGAGCTAATCACTCTCTTTTCTCTCATAACACTCTCCTCATTCCTCTCTTACAACAGTTCTTGAAATATGGAATGATTATTTGTTTATGTGTATTTTCACCATTGGACCACGAGTTCCTTGAGAAAAGGGTGGCAAGGGGGGATGGGAGCTGTATGTTATTGGTCAGATATAAATGTAGAAAATATTAAGTTTGATAAATAGATGATAAATAGATAAATGAAGAAGGATTTAAAGCGATGCAGATACCATTTCATACTTGCTCCCTTCAACTGTCCTAATAAAACTATATTCTAAGCTCTTTTTTTTCCTGTGCCTGCCATTCACAGAAGTTCCTGAATTAACACTTAAAAACCCACTCCCCAAAAAGTTAAGACTTTACTTTGAGTGCTTTCAGGACAGTTGCGCCTTCAAACTTTTCATTGGGTGTATGAGGTGAAGTTTTTCCTCTGTATCCATCACCAACAATCATGATTCCCTGAAATACAATACAAGATGTTTCTCAATGATAACTCCGAATGCATCAGGTCTTCCTTTCTGCCTTGATTTCCAGGAAGCTAAGAACCAAAGCCATCCCCATTTTGTTTCCGGGATCCTAGTATCATTCATTCTTCTAAGCAAAAGGGATATACTAGTATTTATTAAACTTTTACACTCTATTTTTATTATAAAACACCACCACTTTTTGTGGAAGCATGTAGACTCTAAATGATTAATATATTGGTTATTGATTAAAATAAAGGGATTTCTCAGTAACTTTATATGGTAGATAGGGTCCATGCTGGATGATGATTGTCCTAGGAATTTAGCTGCTAACTACTCCAGATCCACTAGCTATATTCAAATCTGGACAAAACTAAAGTCATCTCAATGCAAAGGCTATGAAAGTGCCTCTACAATCAATGACCTTCTCCCAGAGAAAGTGACATTGCAGGCCTGGTTCTCTGGCTCCGGGTGAGACCAGAACCAAAGCACTTGCAGACTCGCAGTAGTCCAACATAGTCAGGCCCCACCCTCCCGAGGTCCTCACACTGGCCACACTGTGCAGCTCCCGGCATTGATCTTCTGACAGGACATTATCCAGAAGAACCCGCTGAGTCCCGTTCAGCTGCTCTGAGTTGTAGACGAAGGTGATGTTCTCATAGATCAGAGGGCCACCTGAAGGGACAGAGCACATTGTCTTCTCTGTTACCTCTGTCCATGAGGGGAAGCACAGAACACCCACCAGCTAGCAATGTGCAGCTGAGGAGAGCCAGTATCTTCATGAATATTTAGGACTGCTTTGACAAATGACAAATTCAGAATTTGAAAAACAGTGTGGATTCAAGAAAAGGGCAGCTGTGTGGCTTTTCCAAAATGTCATGCTGATATATTATATTTGCATAGTATCTTTTATTTGATAAAATATCTTTTTATTTTTATCTAGTGACAATCCAGCGAAGCAGAGTGGGCATTTCACAGGATTCTCCTCTAGCAAGACTTTCCAGGATTCTCTCCACAACTGGTCTCGCCCTGCTCCACAGCCATTGGTTCCTACCATTGCTATAACATCATATGCAATTACTCCATGACATGCTTCATCCCCATGCATGACATAAACATCAGTTTCATGGGTATGTAGAGCAATGCCTTCACCAGAAAATCCAGGTAGTAAATGCACTGTCAGTACAGTCATACCCAAGTCACCTGACTCCTTCTAAGTCTTCTATCCACCACTCCCTGACTCTATATATAATAGTGTTGATTTTAGAATATTCATTCTACTCTGCTCTATGGGTATATCATTATATCATTGTCCTTGCCCTGGATGGCTTCCTGCAGGCTCCTCTCTCTCCCTAGATAGGGTCCATAACTTTATCAAATTAGTGCCACACATGCTCTTCGGAGAATGATGGATTTGGGCCATGTTTAGGTGGTGAAATGATAAAATCTGGGTCTTTTTCTCACAGAAAGTAGGATTAAAGGACAAAAACCTCTGACGGTGAGGAAATCTTCAAATATAACCGAGTATAACCATCTGGATTTGAACCAGAAAAGTGAACAGAAAAGAAAAACACTGTTTTTTCTACTCTTTTCAGTACTCCTAAGGGACCTGACATTTACCTGTCAATGACAATAACTCGGCCCAGAGGGAGTGGTGGGGAGGACACAACTCCTCCCTTCCTCCCATGGTGGCCAAGCAATGATCTTGAACATGCAGGTCTCAAACATGTCAGTTGAAGGGAGAAAAGACAATTGGTGTCCACTATATCGCTTTAAAATAGATTAGTCAAATTAGAGAGCAGCACTAAGTGTTTATTAATCTATTGTAGTTAGGATAAACGAATCACTATAGCCTACAATTAAAGGAATTGTCTGCCATTCACAGAAGATCCTGGATTGACACTTAGGAACCCAACTAAACCCAAAACAAATCAAGACCTTACTTTAAAGTAATGAGATAGTATTTATCAGTCTTGAGTAATATATGGTTATCTGCTAAAGCAAAAGTTCCCTAAGGAACTATGGTGCTGACAAAAATTATTTATACTATTGTATAATTTTACTTCCATATTTGCAATTATAAAATTATGAAGACAGTATTTATTTTTATGGTTTCATAATACAGAAAACCAATTTACAAGATTAAGTAAAAGCAAGACCATAAACCAAATAAATTAAAATAAGCAATATTAATGAAATGAAACAAAAAGTTTACAGAAACAAAAAAGCTACATTCCTCATGAATATTCTACTAACTGATCTGGTCAAGGTTTTTCGAGGCAACGTTCCTCTATACTTTTGGTGTGTAATGACTCACTTATTCTACCACAACTTTTCTCTATTGAAATTACAACAAATCTTAGTGTACCATGATGAATTTTGGTCTTCAACTGGTCCTCATACATTATTTAAAATTTGTACTACTTTATTTCTTGTTAGTTTTCAACCATTGAATATTATTAACTGCTGCCAATGTGATGGTATCTGCACCCATACCATGGAGGTGTTAAATCTCATGGGAGTACTTGGCTATAAGGTGGTTATTCAGATGTCCCACTAGTTGCCCCTCTTAATATTTTTAAATTGTCAACAAAATTGATTATTATAGAGTTTCTTGGCTTTTAGTAAGAAACTTTATAATCTCCCAGTTTCAGTACAAATATTTTGAGTGAATAGAAAAAAATATATTTTTTCCCTACAGTTCAATGTTTCTCAAACTTTTTTCTATATAAAGCTTTTGATGAAAAAGTAGTTTCTTTTTTTTTCGGTTTGTTTTTAATATGGAATGCTTCATGAATTTGAGTGTCATCCTTGTGAAGGGTTCACACTAATCTTCTCTGTATTTTTCCAATTTTAGTATATGTGCTGCCAAAGCGAGCATGAAAAATAGTTTCTTGATCAAATGTGTTTGGGAATTACTGAGTTAAACCAAATTTAATAGGAGTTTTTAGAACATGCATTATGAATATCCTAAGTATCAATATAATATGTAGTAATTCTCACCCTTAATTGAGCACGTTATCCTCCCTCCCTCCTTCCTTCCCTCTCTCCCTCCCTCCCTCCCTTCCTTCCTTCCTTCCTTTCCTCTTTCTTATGGCAGAGAGACTCCAAGATGAACTCTAATGATCACTGCCTCCTGGTGTTCATAGGCCTGTGTAATTTTCTTCCCTCAAGTGTGGGCAGGGCTTGGATCTTGCTTATAACCAATAGAATATGGAAAAAGTGATGGGATGTCATTTCTGTAGATTGCATTGCATAAGATTACAACTTCTATCTTGCTAGCTGACTCAGTCTATTACCTTCTCAGTTTGCAATTTGATGCAGCAAGTGACTGTATTGGACAGGCTCGTACGGCAAAAAATTGATGGGATCTTCTAGCCAAAAATCAACTAGGGCCCTAGCTGGTTTGGTTCAGTGGATAGAGCATTGGCCTGTGGACTGAAGGTCCCAGATTTGATTCTGGTCAAGGGTACATGCCCCAGTTGTATGCTCAATCCTCTGTAGGGGGTATGCAGGAGATAGCCAATCAATGATTCTTTCTTATCATTGATGTTTCTATTTCCCTCTCTCTTCCTCTCTGAAATCAATAAAAATATATTTAAACAAACAAACATAACAACTAGGAACTGAGAACCACAGTCAAATAAGCTTTTAAGTTCCAAATTCTGTCATCTGAACTTGGAAGACGATAGTTCCTCAGTCACCCTTAGAAGAGATGCCAGCTTGTAAAGGTCTTTAAGCAACAGATCCCTAGCTAAGCTATTCCCAGACTCCTGGCCCCAAGAAATTGAGAAATAGTAAATATATGCTATTGGAAGCTGCTATATTTGAGCTAAATTTTTTCATAGCAATAAAAATTAACAACAGTAGACTTTCTCTCCCATCATGGAACTTCTTAAAATAAAACACAGTTTGCTTATGGAAGGTTACTCTAATCTATATATTGGTAGTTGAATAAGATCCATAACCAAATTGAGGCTATCTCTCAAATATTTGGAAAAGTCAACTGCATATTCCAATCTCATTTAGAAATATAAAAACATTTTCTTTCAACAAGAAAGACAAGATACGCATAGGTTCACTGAAAGCATTTTCTAACATAAAACTTAATTAGAAATGGAAGACAAAGAGTTTAGTGAATTTCACTGGTTTATACTTTGCCATGTTTATCTTGTTTTCTATATTGAGAGTGTATTACTTTAAATATAATTTGATTTATTTTAAAAATATAACTTTAAAAGTTACTAATACTAAATAAAACAAATAGAAAAATGCCTACTATTCTTAAGCTCCATATAAGTATTTACTATTACTATAATGATTGTTTTTTAATTAGTAATATATGCCTAATATATTGTATTAATTCTGACTGAGTCATCTTAATAAGCATAATGGAGAATATTTAAAAGAGAGCTACTGAGCCTTGGCTGAGTGGCTCAGTTGCTCGGTGCATTGTCCCATACACCAAAAAGTTGTAGCTCAATTCCTGGTCAGGACTCATACAGGAGGCAACTGAGAGATGTTTCTCACATAGATGTTTCTCTCTTTCTTCCTCTCTCTCTAAAAATTAATAAAAATGTGTAAGGATTAATAAATAAGATAAAAGATAACTACTGAGATATTGACAATTCCCCTACCCATGTCATAAGTAACAACATAGATCAAGTGAAGGAGCAGAATGCAAATGGAGTCTTAAAGGCCTAAATCCACAGGTTCAGACAGAATATGTACCGTATTTTCTGGCGTATAAGATGACCCCCTAATTTTATAGTTAAAACATAGGTTTAGGCCTATATTCGCTGTATCAGACTACCCCTCACTTCAAAGAAAAGACTTACTTTGCCACCAAGATCTGCAGGTAATTTTTGTGCAATTTTGGTCTTTTGCCCCCGATTTTCTGTTTCACTGATTGACTTTTTTTTCCGTTTCAAAAGTTGTCTTATACGCCGGAAAATATGGTACTAGAAAACTGCCTTATATGCAGCTGACACTGTCACCACAATGAAGTTTTATTCAGGGGTTTCTCACACATACATTTAACCAAAAGACAACCAACTACCCACTCACTAACCAAAAGGGAAAAAAGAAAAAAAAAAAATCCTGCCATTCAAAAATGCAAGCCAACCAGCCTACAATGACTAGTAGCACACCAGACAGAGGGAAATATTAAAATAAAATAAAATTTTTAAAAAACGTAGTCCAGTAAGTTGTGGTTCCTGGGCCTGATTTGATAGCTTCAGCCAACTCTTAACCACAGCCCAAGGGGATTTCAACAACTTAATTCTTTTCTCATTCATAAAGTATGTGCCTGGCTACAACTCTCCATTTGCAATAAGGACAGATCATTCAGGAAAACACCCTTCATGCTCAATGTCTGTGGCTCATAGAAAGAAGAATCATTTTGCCGTAAATATCTCAATGTCATAAAGGCATGACAGAGATATGCTGACTAATAAGCCCTTATATGAGCACAACTTTTTAAGGTTTACAAAAGACTTCATATTCATCCTCTCCAACAGTGACTACCCTTTTGTACCAATGGGGAACATAGTGCCTTGAGAGATTGAGTCTCTAGTTATCCATCATTTCAGAGCATGCAAAACTGAGGCAATCCAGGAAACCTGGTCTCCTGATTTCAAGTCCAAAGTTAGTTCTACTAGAACCCACTGGCTCTGGGATTATTATCGAGCAGGACCTTTGGAAAATGGATGGCTAAAAGAAGACTAGATAAGTGACAGATGTTTTTTGGAAGTTGACATGTATGTTCCATGGACTAGAATCAACCGGCCACTCCCATCTTATACTTGGGAGCTGTCCAATATGAATATGACTAACTACTGTTAGATAACCAGAGTAGATGACAATGTCTTTGTGGAAAATGTGAAAAGCTGAAACACATTCTACTCTGTGAAGCATGCTTCCTTTCTTGTCTCCCTGACACCTGCTTTCAACCAGGCTATGATAGGAAAGTGTTTTCTGGTTGGGAACTTTGCCTCTGACTACCACTGTTCTTAATTTAGATACTATTTATGTCTCTAGTGACTGCACAGAAAGTTTTCCAGTGGATTCCCAGAGAACATCTTAAGATCCATTGGCCTAATTCAACTAAGCAGAAATGATAGAATTTGGTAACCCAGCCAATCATGATCTTTCTCCATCCTGTGTAATTCTCTATTCAACTTTTCCCATTAATCTTCCTCATTAGTTGCTGGACATCAAATTCCTTGGTAGCTAAAAAAAAATAATAATAATAATGCTTAAAATTTGGCAACTCTTCTGGAGTTTCCCAAACCTTTACAGCAAAGTTCTGGCTTATTGTCACGTACTTCCTGGGTGACTTCTTGGCTTAAAAGCAGAATGAACTCTGGCTGACCATGAAACACTTATGAAACAGCTTGGGCTTTGTGGCTACAAATTAAGGTCTGGGTCAGATTAGATGATCATATTATCCTGTTTACTACCTCAAACTGACTCGGAAACTAAGGAAGGAAAGGGCTGGGAAATATGAGCTGTAGAGACCCAGTAGTTTTCAAATCAGCTAGAAGAATGTGCTGACAAGCTTCTTTCTGGAAAAGTAGTACTGAACTTCCTCTCCATGAGAGTTTCTGCAATTACTTAATTTGGATTATTTTGAATATCTAGAAACTTCTATGTTCCATCTTCAAGTGAAGAAGAGAAAAAGGGGGTTTGATTCAAAAGCCTGAGCTTAAATGCCTGCTTAACCTATTCTGAGCTGAGACTTTGAACAAATCACTAAATGTCTGTGAGGCTGGTTTTTCTTGTCAATGAAGAAGGGATACTTTTCTCAAATGAGAAGCTGCCTTCACCAAAAGGAATTGTGTGTATTATAGGGTGTTTGATTATCTAACCACTATGCTGTACACCTGAAACTAATACAAAATAGTATCAGATGTAACAATTTTTAAATAAATACAATAAAATGCTTTCTACATTAATTTGCTTAAAAATTTGTTTATTTTAAGTAAGCATATGATGCTTTGCTTTCGCCATTTCTGTGTCTTTGTTCCATTTGTTTTACCCACTAGAATGGCTTTCTTGACATCTGTCAATTCAACCTAAATTCTACTTCTCTCTCATAGCCTTGATCAGATATATGTGACTCAAACATTTTAGATTAACTAATCTAACATCCCATGCAAGCTGTCTCTTTAAGTTCTGTTACATAGTCTATTCTATACTATCCAGCACTACTCACTCACTGTATGACAAAAGTGAGCCATGTGACCTTTCTAAGCCTCAGGTACCAAACTGAGAATGGCAATGATAACACAGTTCCTACCTGTCTCACAGGATTCTTGTAGGAAACAGAAAGTCCTTTTGCTGGAAACTAAAAGTAATGATATATAAATCTGATATATTCTTATTTTTTAGCCTTGCTTTCAGAATTTCATGAATTGTAGTAGCTTAGTCTTTTTTTTTTCTCCAAAGAAAGCAGGTTTTGCATTGATCTGAATAACAACTGGTCAATTCCCATTCTACCCTTACCTTCCTTCTAAGAGTTAAAGTGCATAGATACTTACCCTCTTTTAGGTCTCGGTCTATCTTGGGTGATGTTTTTTTCCCTACTGACAATCCATGAACTTCTGCTCCTTCCACATTCACTCCTGAAGGAACCCTGATTATTTAAAAGTGGAAATGGCAATTTCTCATTGAATAAAGATGTTCGAAAGCAAAAATACTTTACCCAGGTACTCTATGACTCCATATTTTATATGCTCATTGTACAGAAGTCTACCTATCTTTCAAGATCAAATAAAATGTCAGTACCTTCATGAAGTACTTTTTAAAAAATATATTGTTCAAAGAGAGAGAGAGAGAGAGAGAGAGAGAGAGAGAGAGAGAGAGAGAGAGAGAGAGAGA